GTTTCCTTAATATTTCGGTCAATGGCAATGGTTTCTTGCAATGTTTGACGGTTGACGAATTTCGCGAAGGATTCGCGCCAAGGATAATTAATAAGAAAAAAAAAGTTAAAATTAACATGAAATCATAAAAAAAATAATTTCACTTTCTAATATATTAAGTGAATTTCGTTTAACCCTCGGATCAAATTGTATAACAACACAAAAGCGTTAGGTTTTTGTTTGTTTGTTTACGTCGCAATGTTTTTGTTCTGTTTGCTGGACAGTTCTGTGGTGTTTGTGGTTTTTTTGAAGTGTATTTATTCGGTGCATCGTAGCTCGACGTTAGGTAAGTGAAATCATTTCAATTTTAATTCATAATAGACCGATATTCAATTGCAAAACTGTAATAAAATTGGTCAGCGGTATACTAGTTATGTAACACGCTTTGCAGCAGCGCTAATATGGCGACATATGTCGCGGATCGATACGTTCTTTTTCCGAATTGCTTACCGTTACGTAACGTTGAAATGATGTAATTGAAGTTGCCTATGTCGATTCAAAATATTAAATATTTTTGACGTTTACATAAGATTTGTGCAATTTAATTATCTCATTTATGGAACTTTTTTTTACTTATACAACTTCTTTATCTTTTAAGGTATTCATTCTATAGCAAATAGTAGTATTTTACTACTGTCAAATTTTTATTAGTTTGAAGAACATTTTATGGTGTAGACACGTTTTATTTTTTGATTACAAATTTAATACATGCATTTCAGTTCAGCATGTTAATACTAAATCAAGATTACTTTCAGGTATAAATAATTTGTAAAGTTAAAATTTATATAACTATAATCATAACAAGCAACACTAGAAGACGTTTCTTAAATGACATTCACTATATAACTTATAATGTACTATATAGCATGTTAACACAGCTTATTTAGTGGGTCTGTAATCCAACAACAATATGCTATGGCCCAGAGGCGCCAGCTATTTGGGCAATAATTTTGCTTCCCCTTGTGAAGAACGGCTCATTTTTCTTAGAAGCCTACGGGCGGCTTCTTCCCTCGTGTATTATCTTATGAAGAAAAGCGCATTATTCTTAGTAGCCTACGGCAGCCAAATATCTTGGGACGTAACTGTGTTTTTACAATATATAAAATGAGTATAACTTTTTAAGGTTTTCAGGAATGTTGCTGTATTTGATATATATATAAATCAGAATTTAGAACTAAGTAGAATACAAAAAATAATAATGAAAATCCAGACAGAAAGACCTTTTGGGATAGGTTTGTCAAAATTTGGAAAAAAAGTTTTACTCGGGTGCATTGTCATTTTGATACATAGATGATGTGGGGTGACTTTGAATAGTTTTTATATGTTATGAACCTATGACTCGCGTGTCGTAGGTTTGCCATCACTGACCTATGTTGATAGCTCTTTGGCCCAAATGGTGGTCAATGAATATGATAAAAAAAATATATAATTTTTACATTTACTATTATTTGGAAAACATTTAAGTTGATTAATTTGGAACAGACATCACATATGATTCATTATTTAATAGTAATTGTAGTAATTACTATTTAAGTAATTGTTCAATTATTTTAAGACGAAAATAGCGATCACGCAATTCAATTTAAAAAAAATGTTTGAAATAATTTTGTGAAAAATTATATAATTACTATGAAAATCTTTTCAGTTTCCGGATTTTTATATTATATAATAACATTTATTTAAACACACATAAATAAAAAAAATACAAATTCCTTTTTTATATTAATATTTTAACTAAAAGTTATACATTAATTATATTTTTATTGTAATACAATAAATTATAACAAAATGTATTACAAATATCGGCTTTAATAAATAAATAGTATTTTCTTGTTACATTACAATAACGTGTTCTTTGCTACTCATTGAAATACATTGACAATTGATTAGATCATTGAGACATGTAAATAAGGACTACCCTTTACTAAATAGAATGAAACCCTAAGTGATGAGAAAGATCCCTTATCCACTTGAGTTAGAGAAACACTTGACGTGTAACAAAATATTATTTGTTTTTGTGTGTGTGTCTGCAACTGGGTGTGTTGAAGAGACCATCTGTTGAAAACATTCCGTTTTTTATTCTTTGACGCAAATTACATTCATTTTATCTTTGCATATGTATCTCTAACAAGACGGAAACATTAAAATATAATAAAAACTACAGAACTTTTCTTTCCTAAATACGTCAATAAAACTGAAAATATTTTAATTTAATTAGAAGGAAAAATATATTTGATGTATAATAAATGAATAGAGTTAATTAACGTTAAGGATGAATGCGATTAAGCTGCAATTTTTCTTTCAATTGACTATGATTCATGGATGAAGTTTTGTTATAGCTGATTTTCCATTTTGTTATTAGAATATTACGAGTATTTAGCTATTTCAACTGTTTCAGAAAACAGATCAATCATTTGGAATTAACCTTAATGCACGATTGTATCCATTAAATCTTCAATTATTGTTTTTTTGTAATGTAATAAATCAAGTTCAACCAGTACATAAATTCTCATTGATGTCATTTAACAAGAAAACAAACATTATTTATAATTATCGTTAAGTATTATTTACGTTAACACACATATATTTATTTTGTTTAGTAAATTATATACATTACTGATAATTGTTGAAAATATAATATTCAAAGTTAGTAAATTTAGTAAACTGTATTTATAAATCATATTAATAATATCATAATTATTGTTACATAAATATCAGGCAAAAACTTTTTATTCGTATATATTCTTGCTATTATCGCGTTTTTTTTTCTGACACCATTTGAATATCATTTTATTTGTTATACAACACATAATTCCATCAATTTTTCAACTGATAATATTAATGTTTCAATAACTGATTAATCTCTTTACAAATCCAAATATATTACAGATATATGTTTGTTTTGTTATATAATACTAGCCGGAATTCTATTTTTTTTTTATATATACCAGGGGTGGCCAGAGCCGCTCCTTAACTTAACTTAACATAATATAAAAACATATAATATTTGTGTTTTGTTGTGGCTCAACCTTGTGGAACCTTGCATAACGAGCATTTCGCTTAACAAGCAAAATGAAAAATGACTCGCTTAACGAACGACGTTTCGCATAACGATTGACGATGAGAAGAGAAATTTCGCTTGCTACATCACTTTTGAAACTTGTGTACACATATTATGTGTATTTTTGAATATGTTTCACTATACGAGTAAAAATCCGGATTAAACTCGTCAATTGAGATTCCACTGTATAAATTACTTTTTCCGTAAATGATTTAGTCAGTATTTGGTGTCGTTTACAAATAATTAAAGAAAAAAGTCTTATTTTTTTTTTGCTTACATAACGGAATAGGAAACTCCTGAACAGCAGTAAGAGATATGCATTTACATTCTCGGTTGAAAGAAAATCGTTCAGGCATTACCGCGCGTGTTGTCCGGAGGAGGAATATCTGCTTTTTTATGATTAATGCCTTTACTAAAAATATAATACTTTCCTCTTGAAATTCATATTCGAAAATATCATTTTACATATTCACTCTAATATATTGCGTACTTATAATAAAGTTATTTATTATTTTTATAAGAGCAGACGGCCTTCTGCAAAGTTTATTTAACCCAATAAATATTTCCAACCATTCATTGTCTTTTTATCATATTTATATACGAATCATATTTGATTCAATATAGATTATGAAAAATATTATTTGAAAACAGTTTTCTTGACAAAAAAATAGTAGTAAATGATTGTGAGATTGTGAGATATAAGTAAATTATTGTAATATTGGACAAATTTATTTATTTTAATTTGATAATGTGATTACAATTATTAAAATATAAATGATTGGAAACATTTTATAATAATTAGTTATGATTATATAGATATAAAAAACTCAGCTAATTTCTAAATATTTTTTTATTCTCAATAATTATTGCAACGATTATACAAAAACACAAATAATTACATAGAAAAGCACAAAAAACGATACTACTTGAATTATTGCGAAGTGTTATGTAATTTGTTTATTATTATATAAAGATTAATCAAATAGATATAGAAAATATGGATTAAAATAAACAAAATACTTACAAAAGAACTAAATGCAACAAAATAGATATTATATTTTATTAAAGAAATTATCAATTTTAGTTTGGACAGTTAATTTTTTTATCACTATATATCTCCTTGTAACAAGTTAGAGCTTTTAGAATTTTGTTCGTAAGTCGGGGGATATTTGTATTTACATTATCAAAGTTTATACATAAGAGAAAATTTTATATAGTAATATAAAATATTACATTTCCTAAAAATATCTAGTTTTCATTCAATTTAATGAATAAACATTCAGAAATTAATTATTATGTTCAAATTACTGGTATTCATTGTATTTAAATTTGAGTTAAATAACCAGACAACTTTATTTGTTTAAAAAAAAGGTATTTTCATTTTTACTATTCGACTTTTTTCATATCGTAAACATTTTATAATAAATAACTACGTCAATAATTCATTTCATTTTTTGTATCTGTAATTATTTATATAATAATAAGTAATGTTCTAGTAATAATTACATTATTTTAATTTTTACGTTTCGATTATTATCGTTATATAAATAAATAGAAAGTGAAATGTTATATTTCGTTGTAAAATATTTGTTTGTTAATTCGAAGTCAATTAGAAGTAATTAATTAATTAAACGTGTGTCTTGGTACAATTTTAATTGAAATAATTACTAAATTGTTTGTGTTGTGGAAACGTTTTCATAAGCATATGAACGTCGAGACGTTTCGTTAGTTTAAGAAATGTTTAACCTGGGGGCCAGTGTTTTCTTTGGGCCGCTCAAAATTTATTTCAGGGAAAATATTCCTCTCGCTTTAGTCTTTAGGTTTTGTCGGACACATGTCCAGAGATCCTGAAATACTTCATAGTTCGTGGCTTATGCGCATATACACACAGGCACACACATACAGCATACATACTATACAAACTAACATTTAGTCCGCGCTGCCATTCGAATAAGCAGAAAGCCCGAGCTCTGAAGTCTAGCACATATAGCAAAAAAGAATAGATACTCCTAAAAGGAAGAAATAACTAAAAAGACGCAGATATATGATTATTAACTAATAAAAACTAGTTCAAATAATGCAAATCAATATAAATCAACGCGACGCAGTGTAAATAGAATTTTTTTTCTAAAGGTGAAGTGCTATCACGTAGCGAGGATACAAGCCTGTTGGAAGGATCCTAATCCATTGACTTCTATTATGTAAGTAACGAAAGAATCAGTTTTTCGTTTATCCAAATTCAAATAAATATACTTATCGATTGGGTGAATGCGTAAGGTTATCTCTTAGTTAATATTAAATCAACAGCTGGGGAATTATTTAATTTACAAAATCCGTTACTTTGATGTCTTCAACTATGAAATCTGGTTGCCATCCCCTATTTACGAGTTAATAAATCTCGGTGACCCTCGCCCCTATGATTTGCCTCGGACAAAGGGGCTTTTCCATAATTCAATTTGAACGCTCCAAAACAGAAAAAAAGTCACCAGTCGTGCTTCTTAGTACAACCGGCTTTAGCCCGCATTACATAATATTATTTATTCAATAATGTATAATTAGCGCAAATTTCATTCGGCCTCGAATTGAGAATCGCTCGTGTTGCGTCACTAGATAAAATTTAGAGCGTAACATCTCTCACCTGAGAATAGGAGGGCATAGAAGATGGATGGATTTGAATTAGGTGAAAATGTTGATAGCATCAGGAAAGCGAGAAATTTATGCGCATTAATAGAGGAAAGTATATTATTTTATGTTGTCTTATCTTACTTGATTTTGCGAATTATCAAGCTGGATGAATACTAGCCTTTGTCGTAAACCTTTTCACTATGTTTGTTTATTTCGTTCGCTACTCGTGCGTTTCTAAATATTTGTTTAATCCAAGAAAATGTTATCTGAGTAAATATTTGACGTCTAATTACTGTTTCTTTTAATTAAACGCTATTTGGAGCAGCGCCACAACTGGAGCTCACTTGAAACAAATTAAACTGATGTTATTATAAACGCAATTTATTGGTGTTAGCGTGTTTCTGGGTGGCATATATCATTTTCGGAATATTCGTATCAATACTTTATTGGTTTGTGACTAATCATATGATAGCTGCTAATAATAATACATTGCGAACTTAACGTTTTACTTACTTAAATATATACTGTAGAAGAGTGCAAACAGTAAGGTGGATACAAGAAATCACCCGAATAAATATTAAATGGATATGATAATATTGACAGACTTTGGTAGGAAACTTCGGATCGTTTACATCTCTACCTTTGTTTGGTTATCTTATAGAAGGCGTTTCCGACAGACCCATCATTAATCTTTCACATACCTTTTTGTTTTCTTTGTCATTTCGAGGACGATGCTATTAGTGAAAGTTAATTTACTTGCGATTGTTCATTTGCAAAAAAGGTTTTGGTCTTTACGTGTTGCGAATGTTACAATTCCATTCAGTTTATGGGTTAGACTTGGTGTTTTGGGTTAATTGAAAGTTCGACACTAAAGTGTTAACAACTGGCGTTTTACTAGAAAACTGGGTTAAAAATAACTATAAGGTGGTGCGGGTGTGTACAAGTCATTGCCTCCGGTATATTTGCGACTCGGTACGGAGGAATTTCTACTTGATCTTGCCATGTTCTGTCAAACCATATATATATATTTTTTTGCTACTTCTCTCACGTATTTTCTATCGCGTTCAAAAGATATAAACACTTTCCTAGTATTTACATCTTGCTAATTATTATGCCTTACTAATTATTCTCAGAAATATTTATTTTTTAATTTCTGAATCTTAGCGCTTTTTATATCTTTCTATTAACTACAGATCTTTAAGAAATATCACCGTAATTTTATATTGATGGACTTCAATACAGAATCTAAAATCATGTATACAACTGCTTCAAGGTACGACTTATACACAGATGCATTATGGGTCTATACGACTGATTCAAAGTGCGTCCTATATACGGAAATAGTGCGTACTAATATCATTGCTAATTTTCATGCTATAACCACATAAATAATGCTCTAAAGTTTGTATTATATGCATGTAGTTAGTTTCAATATTATTTTTTAAACAGTGATGCGTGTTATACAAAGATGTACACATTACTGCTTCAACCAAATGTATTGCAGCAAGGAAATTGTTGGGTCAAATCCTCTCTCTAGAAACAAAAGTGGACCTTTATTGAATATACATCTCCTCCTCGTCCTCCTCCTAAAATCTACACTTGATTCGGCTGCATTGATAATGCGTGCTGCATTACTGTTCGAAGCTGCGTCTTATACATACATGTCTTATACCAGAGGTTCCCAAACTGTATGCGGTTTTACTACAGGCGAAAATAAAAAAAATCTAATATATTAACATAAAGTTAGCACTGAGATAGACCAATGTTTCGACTTGGGAAAAATTGTGATATATTAAGGGCGCCGCAAACCGAAAAAGTTTGGCAACCTTATACTATCAAATTACTTCTTCAGGCTGCGTTTTATACATATCGGTGTGCTCTATTTAATGTGAAATAACAAGAGCACCCTTTCGCAATTCTTAACTTCTCTTTAAGTGTACCATCCTGTTTCACTTGTTCCCAATTTTTTTTTATTGTTTTTTTTTGCAAACTTTATATTGTAAATTTACTGTTTTATTTCCTTTTGCCGTATATAATATTCCAATTACACAATAATTTAACAGAAGGAAAATCTTTTGTCGAAAGGATCAATAGATTTTGTGAAGTTGTAAAACAATTTATATAGATGTTTATTGTTATTAAAAATTCTGCATTGTAATATGAACTTTGAGCGATGTTCTTGGATATTTTCCTTTGTAATTTAACGAAAGTCTGGTATAAATCTGCGTTCTGAAAAATTTATTTTTGTTTCAAACAAATAACCGACCGTGAATCATCCTAAGAAATATAAAGATTCATAAATTCTCGAGCATACCACAATCTTGTTTACTTTATCCTGTTGAAAAATTCATCAACGTTCAGTAAAAAAATCGGGCAATTAGCTTTTTTCGGGCTCGTTAAGTTGTTTATATTTATAATTTGGAATTAGAAACGCGTTGCTCATAGAATAAGTCTTTTGTGCGGATGGAGTTTAAAGGAAAAGGAGTCGGTATTATTCCGGTAAGTGGAGTGTGATGTTGCACACCAGAAGCTTTACTAATTATCAATTTTCTCTACGATCTCTGAAAAAAAAAACAATCCACTAAACGAAAATAATAATTGAATCAATTTACTGAAACTGGATGATGACCTGAAATGAACTTTCGAGCAAATGCTCTGCATCCGATTATAATAAATTCTGGCTTAATGATTGTAAATTGGACGAGATTGTTCGAGTGGCAGATTTAATTGTGTTGGAACTAAAATAGAAATTCCCTAACTCGTCGATGCTTAAACATTCGTTTAATAACTTCGCACACACGAAGATGTTGCTTTTACTGGTTATGTTTTTTTTTGCACGTTGAATGCTAATTCATCGTGTGTAAACTCATTTACAAACAAAGGGAGGATAAGTTGTTTCATTGCCTTGGCAGAGAAACGCGTTAGTCATACTGAAATTTACTGAAAATAGTTTCATGGGCGAAAAGATAAATAGAATTTATAATATAAAACGGAAAGCGAAAGAGATAAATAAAAGTTACTTAATAGTTTTTTTTGGTGGGTTGGGCATTCCTTCAAAGAATTGAAAACATTGTTTTTTAAATGCGTGTTAATTAAGTTAACACAATTCATTACAAATAGAATTGTTTATTTAGTTTACGGTCGTTTCTCCAATTAAGTTGATGGATGAAAAATTATGAATGATTTATAAACAAGTAGGGCAATTTAAATTTAGACACATATAAAATGAAAATGTAGAAACTTAATTGCAATAAAGAGAAAATAAATACATTTATTCATTTTTTTTTAACTATTTTGTCTAATTTATTTTCATTCATTTAATTAGTTATGAATTATTTCAGTAATTTGATAAATTTATGACAATAAAAAATATTTGTTGATTTATTAATTACTGTTTTAAAAAAACATGATTGGAATTTGTTTGGATAAAAAATGTATTTATTAACATGAATTTATTTTTAATTTTTAAAGGTCAAACAATAACTAATATTTTCTAACAATGTTAATAATATAACAAATTATAATTTTATTTATTATGTATATAAAAACATGGTCTTTTTGACTTAAATTTTACAATTTTTAAACTAAACTTTGATGAATTTATTGATTTAATAAACAAATTATATAAGAATGGGATAATTCGTTTATTAAATCAATATTTTTTTTGTAATAATAATTTTAGTAGTTTCAGCATGACCATGTAAATATCGACAAACAATTTTAAATTATACTTTATTGTAATAGTCTTAGCGATGCAATAAAAATCTAATTTCATATCGTATGATAAAATCCTTATACGAAATGTATTTCGATTACTTTCACGTTTGAGGCATGGTTAACATTGTTCACTCAATGGAGATACCATCCATAACCTATTCACTTTCTTCTGATGGTACCGATAGGAACGTGTATTAGAATAGGAATCATTTGAAACGCCGCCTACCTGCTTCGACATTCCAAAATATCTTCTATACTCCCAGTCACTACAGTCATTCATTCAACAGTCAAATTTATTTGTAGTTTGCTTACAATTCTAGTTTAAAAATACTAGACTACATTTTTAAACACCAAATGTAGATTTGTAAATATTATTAACTTACATACTTTGATTATTTTGTAGTGATTTCTTAAAATACATATATTTATTAATCTCTGTTTAAAACCTATAATCTGCTTCCATAACAGAATTAGTGGTTCTTCATGACTAAAAAAAATATTGATTTGTGTTCAAATGATAATATTACTTGAGTATGATTCACAATGATTATGATTAATCATTGCCTTAACTCAAGGTTGAAAGTACAAAAATTTCAATGAAACTTATCCATGAATCTAATTTAATAGTTTGCTATACTATAGTTTATTATACATAACGTATTAGGTTTGCATTAATGTACACTTTATTAATACTTTAGCTCAGCGTTTCTCAACCAATAAATATGGAATAACTAGTTAAAGAATTGAACAGTGAACTAATAATTAGTTACTTCATAGAATAACTGATTATACGCTTTAGCGGTAACATATAATTAATAGTTGGGTTTGAACACTTATTAAAGTTGTTTTAAGTAATTTA